CTCGAACCAGCTGAGCAAGTGGTTGCATATAGATGTTAAACAACAGAGGGGAGAGAATGGCCCCCTGAGGAATGACTAACTACCTGCTTGCTGGACTGTGATTAAAACCTGCTAATAAGATCTGAAGAGTAAACGCTGATAAGAATGGGACAGTGCTAACAGAAATGTTTGCAACATTCTTTATGTTAAGAAGGAAGTCAACATAAGATCAACACCAATCAAGAAGATCAACATCTGTCCAGGAAACTGAGATGGAGCCAGGATGGAAGATGTCTATCATTCAATTTACAACTTTGGGACTACCTCAGCAGAATATTCCTATAAAAGACTCAGTCTAATAATGCCCAAAGTGTGACCGACCTGAGGAGTCTGGTTCACCTGCTATGCTCTGCTCCATGGGAAGGAGAGAGATGGTTTATTTGGAGAGTGGCAGATTTTCAAGGGAGCAGTCTGTTCACTTTGGCCTTCTTTCTCAAGGGAAGAGGAAGAAGGAAGAAGTGCGCTTTTGGAGACTTAGATTTTGTGCATGGAGTCAGGTTCTGCTGTATGAAAAACAGAGATCTGGTCCTTGGCATTGTGCTTAGGGAAGAAGTTCTGGCATTTCAGCGTTTTGAAGTTATGGCATTATGGAAGTTATGGAACTATACGTTGGCAGGCTGCAGGAAAGCATGGCCCGGCCTATCAGGTGCATCTCCAAGGAGGGAGAAAATGATATGGTAATATTTGGATGCATGTGGATGAATACGTGTACATGTGTGTGAATGTTGAGTGAAAATGTAATTCCCCTTTGTTTGTTTGTTAACGAATGTAATTGCAAATCCAATGTGGTTGCATAGAATCTGTATGTCTGTAGTCCAATGTCATTCTTTGTCTAAATGTTTTCTGTAATCTGATATACCTTCTCACACTGGAAATTGCAATAAAAAGAACCTATGTTTCAAAGTTATTAAAAAGTCATTCATGACACGAGAGTTAAGAATGTTAAATTCCTCTTTGAAAATTCTAGAATTCTACAAAATTTCAGTTCAGCTGGAATTATAGCACTACAGTATGAATGGGATCCTTCTTTGTACCAGATGGGAGATGACCACAGAAAGGAATAACTGAAGTTAACAACATAAAGATGTACACTTAGAATCATAGAATCAAAGAGTTGGAAGAGACCTCATGGGCCATCCAGTCCAACCCCCTGCCAAGAAGCAGGAATATTGCATTCAAATCACCCCTGACAGATGGCCATCCAGCCTCTATTTAAAAGCTTCCAAAGAAGGAGCCTCCACCACACTCTGGGGCAGAGAGTTCCACTGCTGAACGGCTCTCACAGTCAGGAAGTTCTTCCTCATGTTCAGATGGAATCTCCTCTTGTAGTTTGAAGCCATTGTTCCATTGCGTCCTAGTCTCCAAGGGAGCAGAAAACAAGCTTGCTCCCTCCTCCCTGTGGCTTCCTCTCACATATTTATACATGGCTATCATATCTCCTCTCAGCCTTCTCTTCTTCAGGCTAAACATGCCCAGCTCTTTAAGCCGCTCCTCATAGGGCTTGTTCTCCAGACCCTTGATCATTTTAGTCGCCCTCCTCTGGACACATTCCAGCTTGTTAACATCTCCCTTCAATTGTGGTGCCCAGAATTAGGGCACAGTTTTCCACTCTCTTGAATTGAGGTGCCCAGAATTGGACACAATATTCCAGATGTGGTCTAACCAAAGCAGAATAGAGGGGTAGCATGACTTCCCTAGATCTAGACACTATGCTCCTATTGATGCAGGCCAAAATCCCATTGGCTTTTTTTGCCGCCACATCACATTGTTGGCTCATGTTTAACTTGTTGTCCACGAGGACTCCAAGATCTTTTTCACACGTACTGCTCTCAAACCAGGCATCCTCTCCCATTCTGTCTCTTTGCATTTCGTTTTTCCTGCCAAAGTGGAGTCTCTTGCATTTGTCACTGTTGAACTTCATTTTGTTAGTTTTGGCCAATCATCTCTCATCTGTCAAGATCGTTTTGAATCCTGCTCCTGTCCTCTGGAGTCTTGGCTCTCCCTCCCAATTTGGTGTCGTCTGCAAACTTGATGATCATGCCTTCTAGCCCTTCATCTAAGTCATTAATAAAGATCTTGAACAGGACCGGGCCCAGGACAGAAACCTGCTGATGGCACTCCGTTCGTTACTTCTTTCCAGGATGAAGAGGAAGCATTGGTGAGCACCCTCTGGGTTCGTCCATTTAACCAATTATAGATCCACCTAACTGTAGTTTTGCCTAGCCCACATTGGACTAGTTTCCTTGCCAGAAGGTCATGGGGGACCTTGTTGAAGGCCTTCCTGAAATCCAGGTACGCCACATCCACGGCATTCCCCGCCGTGCAAGAGAGTCTTCTCATTAGCAGAAGGAGCCAAAGAGCAAGGGATGAGTGATAGTGCAGCAAAGGATCCTCCCAGCGGAAACATTCTGAAGTTTAAACTAGACCTACATCTGTCACAGCCCTTCCTTTATGGCCTGCAATTCAACCATCAGGGTAATTGCATGGCAGTCAGAAGGATAATTTCATGGCATGCCATCAAATATATTTCCTGGAATCCACGGCACATTTGATCCACCTACTTCCCAACATTCATGGGCTTCTCTAATTGTGCTCGAAATGAGTTTGTTTGCCCGGCATCCTGGTGATCTTCAAGGTCGATGGCTTCTTCTGATGTTGTTCTCGGCTTTGTAGCTGGTTTCGTTCACTTGCCCAAGCAATGGCGCATAGAGCGGAGACACGTCCCACCTCATATGTTCCCTTCCTTAAGTGTCATTTGTGACTAATTTACTCTGGTCATCTGCCACGAACATCTGCTCCTCTCTGGTAGAAAACTGTGCAGCTTGTGCAAGGATAAGGGATTTGGGAACTGTGCTCACAGTCAGAACAAACAATAGCTGATTCCCAGAAAATCACTCTTCCCTTGAATTTGATACGATTTTAAATATACTCAGAAAAGAAAGCAAATTTTAATATCAACTTTTAAAATGATGACCAGCATTTTCAGCAAATCAGCTGGTGGTGCCAGGTGTACAACCTTAGGGCATATGTTTTGTGTGGAGGATCTCATGCTTATTTCCTAGCTATATGTATACGCTAATGCACCTGAGATGACTCAGAATTGAAAGCAATGACTTACAGTTTCATAAAGAGAAAGAGAAACAAGATAGAAAAGAGAGATGAAAATAGTCAATTTGCATTTACAAATTAAACCATCTATGACTGGAAAATATATTTTCCAGGGGCAGGGGGGACTCAGGGTGGCTTCCAGCCGGCAACAATTCGATGCCTCTAATGTACACATAATAAAATACATAATAAAATCCAATAATTACATACATTTAAAACATTAAATCACATTAATTAATTAAAATCTGTTTCTGTTTCAGTAACAGCCTGGTGGCCTTATCTGAGCCGTCCCCTGAAGGCACAGGTTCGCAGTCTGGGAGTTCTCCTAGATTCATCGCTGAGCCTGGAGCCCCAGGTTTCAGCGGTGGTCAGGGAGCTTTTGCACAATTAAAACTTGTGCGCCAGCTGCGCCCGTACCTTGGGAAGTCTGACTTGGCCACGGTGGTCCACGCTTTGGTTACATCCCGTTTAGACTACTGCAACGCTCTCTACGTGGGGTTGCCTCTGAAGACTGCCCGGAAGCTGCAGCTAGTCCAACGCTCGGCAGCCAGACTACTAACGGGTGCTGGGTACAGGGAGCACACCACTCCGCTGTTACACCAGCTCCACTGGCTGCCAATTAGCTTCCGAGCACAATTCAAAGTGCTGGTGTTAACCTATAAAGCCCTAAACAACTCCGGCCCTGTTTACCTCTCCGAACGTATTCTCCCCTACGAACCATCCCACCGGCCTCGCAAGCGCGTCTGGTGGGGACGAGGGACAGGGCCTTCTCGGTGGTGGCCCCTCTCTGGAACTCTCTCCCACTGGAGATCAGAACCGCCCCTTCTATCCTGACATTTAGGAAACAGGTGAAGACTTGGTTATGGAGACAGGCATTTGACGAGTGAGCCAACACCCTGAGATATGGATGGAGGATGATGAGCAACGATTTTAGTGTGACGACTGACCATTATAGTTATTGATTGTAATTGCTGTTTTAATGTTTTACTGTAATATGTATTATGATGTTTTATTGATTGTATGTGATATTATGGTTGGAAACCGGTCTGAGTCCCTCAAGAGAGGTGAGAAGGCCGGTATACAAAACTTTTAAATAAATAAATAAATAACAATACAATAGGGAGACAATTTAGACCATGAAGATACAACAACTCTGAACTCCAAT